GATAACACAATGGTGACCATCAAACCTCCAGCATTTATAGATTTTCTTGGGGTAGGCCACCAAAGCTCCAACATCTAGAGAGAAAAAGACTAATTACTCCTGTCATTCTTATCAAAGTCCTGTCTTTTATTAGCCATTAACATGACAGGCCAAGGAATCAAGTGTCCTCTTTTCTCTTTCCCTACGTGCTATTTAGTTATTTATCGAGATTCTGGTCAAAGTTTCAAAAGATTTTACTAAATGAAACACCAGCACATATTTATGTTACGAATTCCGAGTTAGACCATGAATGGAATTCTAAGAATGGAGACAACGGAAGTGGGTCTAACCCGGGGTAAAGAATCAATGACCAAGTAAACTTATAGCAGTTTTGCATTCCACATGAATTCTAATAAAGCTCATGCGTTATGGGTTGTGCCTGCCATTGCTTCTTCAAGTTCCTTCAGTGTAAGGAGCCTCGTGCTCTTCAAATGTTCTCCTTTTGCGTAGGAATCAATATCCTCAAGGTTCACTTGCTTCAATGTAAATTGGTTTCCCACAGCTTTTACTGTCTTCTCAACAAAATCTGATCTTTCAATGTAGTCCTTCATTCTACACACGAAATCTGTGTGATCTCTTTCCTGCAATGTACCGAAAAATGGGAATATATAATATTCAGTTCCACGAATCAACGAGTTTTGGATCAAGTAATCAAATTGGAGACATTAAGACCAAGATGAAGTAAGGGTCATACCAATCGGTACTGTGGCACCCTCGAAGGCAACTTAAGGTAAGCCATGTTTCTCACATTGTAGTCCCATAGAAATGATGTATGGTGTATCCATCTATTTCTAATTATCGATTGAGCATTTCCACCAAATTTACGGTCACCAAAAACATAATCTGAAAAATCCAAAATACAAGAAAGAGAAAGCTTAAAACCCTTTCATGGTGCATCAAGAGAAACAAGGATATCTAACTTGAACATCTAATACAGTTTCACACACAGGAAACCATTTATACCCTTAAACACTTCACCATACAAAGAACCACTCCACGCCATGACAGAACGAGGATAAGGCTGGACATTTGGAACATCATCCTTGTTGCAAATCAAACTCACAAACATTGTACTCTTGTCCACAATCACCGTTCCTCGTCCCGTGAATCTTTTGATTACCGGTATTCGATCCTGTATAACAGGTCCAAGCTCAAGAAGTTGAGAAGGCTTCCTGTAACAAGAGAAACATGCTCAAAGTTTTAACATTTTTGTCGCAATGATTTCACCCATAAAGGCAGAGAAAAAAATGGAATCAGGTGTTTACCCTGACATTCCCATGACAATAGTAGGGACATTGGTTCCATCATTAACGATGCACCAATTATCCGATGATGTTCTAAGAAGCCTTTCTTCCAAATGCAGTTGCTCCAAAATCGGTGCTCCTTTAAGTCTAACGAGATTCATCAATGGAAGCCCCAAATTCTTAGCTCTATTTACACTCATCTTACCCCTTTAAACTCTACCTGCGAAGGTTCTATGATACAAGAGCCATCATCAACACAGTCTGTATCACAAACCCCACGGATACTCAGGACACAGAAAAAAAAACAGATTTCTATTGTTGGTTTACAATACAAGGAGTTGACTTTAAGGAAGATGAAGAAGAAAGGTATCAGATTTCGATTAAGGGTTATCAAATCTCGATTCCAATAAGAAGGAATCTTACCTTAAATCGAATTCCGACGAAGGTCGTTGCTCGGCGATCTCGAAGACCGAATCAAAAACGGGAGAAGCTTCAAGGGTTTAATTATGCCCCATATAATATTATTTTCAGGCCCACAGGTCGGAGCAACGCGCTTCGTCAACGCTTATACGGTTTCTCTTGGATACCAAAAGACAACATTTTTGGCGCCACGCCATGTCCACCTTGTCCCGGCGGTAAACACTATGTTGCAGGGAAGGTGTTTGATTAAATGCCGCAGAGAGATGTGGTTTCTTGGAGTTCGGTTTAACTTGTAAATTGCGAAATTACGAAATTACTCAAAAGTCTTCAAAAGAGCTATGATTAACATTTACAAGAACCATGTTTAACATACATTGTAATCTCATCCCAAGAAGCAGAACAATAAAAAGTGTCAAAGAGCAAAAAAAGTAAAATTAATTGAATAGATATGATCACTGAAAAAATCATATGATTCAGTAGAAGCTATTCTCCATGAATTTCACAAACTCTTTAAAATCGATTTTTCCATCTTTTTTTCCATCTAATGATCTAATCATGCCCAAGCAATTCTCAATATAAGATTCTTCTTTGAAACCTAATATTGTTAAAACTCTCTGCAACTCTGTAGCATCGATGAAACCATCTCTGTTTTCATCAAACACGTCAAAAGCTTGCTTCACTTCCTCCAAGCTCGCCTCTTTCTCTTCGAACAAACTCGAAATCTCCTTGGAACTGTACCGTTCTTGAAGCTCATCGGTTTCTGAGTAGGAGAAAAGCCCTAAGCTTTTCATAACCATCTCTGCGTCTTCTCTAGACAGAGTCAGAGCATCATCATCTTGTTCTTGTTCTGTGTGTTTGATCAAACTCTGATGTTTCTGGTCTGAGAAATCATGATCTTTGTTGTTTTTGTCGGAAACACGTTGATGGTGTTGAAGAAGAGGGAAGAATCTGGATAATACGATGCGAGCAGAAGAAACCCATCTGCAAAATCCGATGAGGAAAAAGTTGAACAAAGCTAACAAAGGGAGAGAAGAAGATTGTTTGCACACAGAAAAGAGACTCTTCTCCATGGTTATGAATCAACAAGAAGTAACTAAAACGTCTTGGTTAGATGAGATATTAAAGATATAGAATCTGTCTCTCTCTGTGTGTGTATATATATATATATGCATGAAGGAGATTTCAAGTGTTGGTGCGAAGCTTTCTCGAGAGGATAAAGAGAGGAAGGTGGTAATGAAGTAAAAGACAAAGTCCGTGTTGGAATAGGAAAGGAAAAATGGAAAAAGGAAGTTTCTTTCATTTTCTTGCAACATATTGTTAGAATTGTTAAGAGGAATTTTCTGTTTCTGGTCTTATTTGGAGGAAAGTTTGGTCGTCTTGACTTGTTTATTAAATTGATCTATTTAACAATTTGCGCGTTGATTTCTTTCCTTTCTTAACTAAAGAAAAATAACAAATTCATAGACTGAAAATATATTTAAAGGAATTGTAAAAACCTATTGCTATCTAGGATACATGTATGTTTTCATTCGTTGGGATAATATTTATGTTAAATGTCTAGACTTTGTGTACACTAGAGACACAAATATCAGCGGTTTGGTTAAAACTTTGAATTTCTATCTCGAAAATTTTACTTTTGAAGAATGAACTTTATTTTGAGTGTACATTCCCTTTAAACGTAGAAATAAGTTGGTCAAAGGTTGTAATTTGGAAGGTGTGATTTGTTTTGCTCACAACTATATTAAGAACTCATCTTTTGAGTATGTTCTTTGTTGTTTTTATAGGAGAAACGTCTTTCAAGTTTCAACTATGTAGAGGTAGTAAATATGTGCTTAGATCTATCTATAAATCAAATTCCAAAGTTTTTTTTGGAAACTTAAATTACAAAAAATTGGAGAAAAAAAAATGATATTTTAAAAATTTAAGAGAAATTTCAAAAAATGCTACTTTTCAAGTTCCACTTTACAAAAATGATACACTTTAGAAATTTTTATAAAAATGTCACTTTTTCAAAATTATTTTTTTTTATATTATTTATATTTGAGTTAATTATGTCCTATTGGGGTTTAGTTTTGAGTTTTTAGAGGGTTTTAAGTGTGAAAATATTTTTTATGGTTTAGAATTCTAAGATATAGGCTTTATAAATCTAGAATTAGTGGTATTTTGTAAATAGACACTCCTAAATGACATTCTTGCAAATGTACACACAAAAAGTGGTATTTTTGTAAGTGTCCCTTTTTTTTATTAGCAGAGATTGAGAAATTAATGTGTTTATTTTATTAATAAAGTTATTAGAAAAAAAAATCGGTTAGTAAGTTGTTTGGATTGTTTCGTTTCATTTTATTCATGCCACCTTTTGATAACTTGAACACATCTAATTGGCAAAAAAAAATCATTGTAGTAGTGTTCATAAAAAGATGTGTAATTTCAGCGAAAATGCAATTTCCCTTTCAGAAACATTTTTCTGTAGTACTCCATTTGAACCTTAAAATTGCATTATTAGTAGGACATTGAAAAACTATTTACAATCCTAACCATTGTTTCATGTCATCAATT